GTGCCCTGTAAGAGTGCGGGGGCTCCTGGCGGCTCGGGGCTTTGCGTGTCTCCGTGCCGCAGTCTCCGGGCCCCCTCCCAAGCTCTCAGGCGCGAGAGTGGGACCCCGCGTTATTCGTGTTGTGTTGTGTGTTGAGTGTGTGTGTGTGTTGTGTGTGTGTGTGTTGAGTGTAATGTGTGCGTGTGTGTGTGTGTATTTTTTTAGCGTCTGCAAGGCGTGTGCATCTATCAGTAAGCATGGTCAAGTTTTGTACATTTACGCATTCACAGAATTCATGTACTTGTGCTCAAGCGTCTGCTTGACTGTATGTATGTTCACATTGTTATACGTTACAAGATTTTGAGTGGCGTTGCAAGGTACTGTCATATAATGTGGCGATAAGCAGCGTAATGTGATCTACTTTGTTGTGATGTAGCATAGTGCATGTAATGCGTGTGCTGTATGGCATGTGTATAATGTGTATGGGATCAGCCTGTTGCTATGCATGTATGTATGTAGGCATGCATTCATGCATGTATGCATGTATGCGTGTATGCATGTATGTATGTATGCATGTAATCACATATGCATATTATGCATGTTTTCATGCATGCATGTATGTATGTATGCATGGCTGTCTGTCTGTTTGCCTGTCTGTCTGTATGCATGTTGGTATGTATGCATGTACGAATGCATGCATGCAGACATGCACATATTATTGTATGTATCTACGTACATATGTATGCATGACTGTATGTATGCATGCATTCATGTGTTTTTGTAGTTATGTATGCATGCATACGCGTGTATGTACTTATTTACGTATGTATGCATGACTGCGTGTGTGTATATATGTATGTATATCTGCATGTATGCCTGCATGTCTGCATGCATGCATGCATGCATGAATGTTTGTATATATTTTCGCATGTATGTCTGTATGCATGCATGCATGTACGACTGTATGTATACAGGTATGTAGGTATCTGTGTGCGTACGTATGTATGTATGTTTGTGTATACTGTATGTACATATACATGTCTCGGCATGCAGTCAGGTATGCATGCATGCATGCATGTATGTACGTATGTATGCATGAACGCATGCATGCATGCATGCATGTATGCATGTACGTGTGCATGCATGCATGCATCCACGTATGCATGCGTGCAGGCGTGCATGCATGTGTATGTGTATAGATGCACGCATGCCATGTATGGATGCATGTAGGTAGGTATGTATGCATGCATGCATGTCTGTCTGCCTGCCTGTCTGTCTGTCTGTCTGTCTGTCTGTCTGTCTGTATGTTTGTATGTATGTACGAACGTACGTACGCATGTATCTATGTGTGTATGCAGGTATGTCTAGGCTTGTTTCGGTTGTTTGTTTTTGTTCGTTTGTGTTTTTCGTGCGCGCGCGTCAGCGTGTGCATGTTTGCTAGTCTGTGTGTTGTGTGTGTTGTGTGTGTGTGTTGTGTGTGTGTTGTGTGTGTGTGTGTGTGTGTGTGTGTGTGTGTGTGTGCGTCCCTGTGCCTCCCTGTGTGGGCGACAGGTTGGCCCTCCCCTTCGCGCCTCTGTTCTCCCTCGCAACTACACCCCCCATCACGACGGCTCTGATCAGCTCTACTACAAGCCGCGCGGCGAAAGGTGCCGTTGCAACCCAGTTGGAACTATAACACCAACAAGAAAAAGTCCTGGCAGGAGGTAGTCAACCGCCTCAAAAAGGAATGCGGCCCCATGCTGGCGATTCGCTGGAACACCGTTTGCAACCGCAAGCTGGGACAGCACTCGTCCAATGACTCCAGCCGCCACTCCCCCGATTTCTGTGACGGCCCTGTTTCTGACCTCACCCAGGCCAACTTCGATGTCCGCACCCTCTGCTGGTACAAGGACATCCACGGCGACTGGGACGCCGAGTGGGAGCGTGAAATGGAAAAAGGGAGGCACAGTGCGGAGGCAGCCAAGGGCAAAGGAAGGGGTCCCCCGCCGCAGGGGAAGGGCAAGCGTCCTGCCGACTCCTCTTGGCCCGGCAGCGGCGACCCCACTCGCCAGCAGTGGTCTGGGGCGCGCAGTCGGCACTGGTAGCTCCCCCTCGACATGGCAGGCGCGCCTGCCCCCTTTGTTCGCCTCGCTGCACCTGTTCGGCGCCCCTCCCCCGCGTGCCTCCGGCTGCCGCCAGGGGGCTGTGCTCGTGCTCTCCCCGCCCGGCCTGCTGCGGCCCAGGCCCAGCGGTCGCAGCTCTCGGCAGCGCCGCCTCCCGCGCCCCGCCCGCCGTCCAGGAGACGACCGCCGCGCCTGCCGCGGGCGGGCCGGTCTTGCCGCCTGCCGCTGGCTCCAGCACGCCTCTGTTTGGCCTCCGGATCGCCCTTTTCCCCGCTGGGGGGGTGCCCTGCCTAGCCGCTGCAGCCCCCCGCCCTGGCAGGGGGCTCGCCGGCCTTTTGCAGGTTTTGTCCAGGCGCCGCCCGTGGTATCCTCCGCGGCTTCCTGCCGGGTCCCCGCCTCGCCCGCCCGGCTTCCAGGTCGGCCTTTCGCCCGCGCGCTGGCCGCCCGGGTGGGCCGTGATCGCTGCAACGCAGCCGTGGCGCATCGGTGCGCTGCCCGCCCCCCCTCTCCGCGCCTCGAAGGTCACGTCCTCGGCATCTTGGAGCGGGCCCTCGGCTTTCGCGACGCTGTTATCCTAGCCTTCCTCACTACTGCCCTCATCGACGGCGGGGGCAGAGGCAGTGAGTGAAAGGCCTCTTGCCAGCGCCTGCGCCCCGCGGAGACATGGCCAGGCGAGGTCGTCTCCACCAAGCCTGCGGCCCACTCCAACTGCCAACTCACCACGTTCCTTCTCGAACTCTGGGCCGCCAACGACTACGCACCACTCGGCGGCGAACCCGGGGGGAAATGAGAAGGAGAAGGCCTTGTCCGAAGGCTCGGAAGGCCCTTGGCCGTCTGACAAGATTTCTAAGCCTTCCCCGAAGACGCAGAGAACTTTTCAGAAGGCGCGAGGGCTTTGAAAAGCCCCGCCGCCTTCTGAGAAGGCCTTATCCTTCTCACTTCCCCCCTTCGCTCGCCGCCGACACTCGGCCGCCGCAACTTGCCTCCGTCAGGGGATGACGCGGAGTTCCCTCCTCTCGGCGCCCCGACGGCTCGTCGGGGTTTCTTTCGCTGCAGCCCCTCGCCCCGCAGCGGGTTGAACGGGGGCCCGAACGCCAAGGCCAGGGCCGCCTCAGGGCGCGGGCGCACCGCCAGCGTCACGCGAGCGGCCTCCAGCGACAGCGGCGAGTCGCGCGCGCCCGGCGGCAGGGCCACCTCGGGCCGCGCCCGCCTCCGGCAACGAGCGAGGCGCCCCCCGCAAGCGCCCCAGCTCCAACGCTCTCCAGCCTGCCCCCAAGACGCCATCCCGCTTTCGCGCGGCCTCCACTGGGGGGGGGGGGCCATGGGCCGCCCCAGGGCCCCCCCAACGCAGCCGCCAGCGACCGCCTGGCGTCGCTGGGCCCAGCGGGCGGCGCTGGTCGGAAGGTCCCAGTCGACAACATGGACCCCTACCTTCGGCTTTTCGGCGCCTTGCACGCCCGCCCCAAAGAAAAGCTCGTGGCCCTCACGGACGATTTCGGCGCCGCGCATGGCGTAGTCGCAGGGGAGGTCTTCGCCAGGAGCTACCGCGCCCGGGGGTTTGGCCATTTCCTGGCGCGTCGGTGGATAGGTTTTGGTTCCCCCCAGCCACAGGCCCCACCGACCTCCCCACGGCCTGGTGCGACCCCGGGGCCTCGGCGACGAGCGCCGGCCCCCGGGGTGGAGACGGGCTCGTGCCCAGTCCTCCAGCGGGGCCCGAGCCGAGGCCCACGGCCCTGCCGCCTCCCCACATGGGCGGCGAAGGCCTCCAGCGCCTGGTCCACGGGCAGCTGATGTTCCAGGGGCCTCGCGGGCAGAGCAGGCGGCCCCTCGATAAGAAGCGTGGCGACGGTGGCCGCGACTGTCCCGCCCTGCAGCTAGGCTATGGCGCTTGTTCCTCTGCGATCACCTCGACGACCCCCCGCCCGAGACCCTGAAGGGGGGAGGCGCCCTCGTAGTCCGCAGGCCCATGCTTCTCCACTTCCTGCAGCACCTCCTTGCCGTCGGCTTCGTCCTCGAGGCCCCCGCCGTGGTGCTTGGCACCTGTGGCGACGCCTCCGATGGCGAGACGCGGTCGGGGCCGCAGGCGACTCCGACGCGGGAAACCCCTCGAAGCCCGAGCCTGGGCCCGCGCGCCGGTCCCGCTCCCCAGCCCGCGCAGGGCAGGGCACCAGAGGGCGGGGCCGCGGCGTCGCGGCGGCCAGCCACGGGCTCCTGCACGCGGCGACCACGCAGGCGAGGACGGCCCTCCCCCTCCTCCTCCTCCTCCTCCTCCTCCTCCTCCTCCTCCTCCTCCTCCTCCTCCTCCTCCTCCTCCGCCCTCCTCCTCCTCCTCAGGCATCTTGCCCCTCCGTCGTCCGCCTCTGTTCTCCACCCTCGCCCTGCCTTTGCGGCTGCCGCTGCCCTTGCTCTCCACCCTCGCCCGCGCCGCTGCTGCTCCGCGGGGCGCCCGCGCCGCGCGGCCGCGGCTCCTCCCTCCCGCCGACCATGCCAGGTCGGCTGACGTGCTGCCGCCCAGCAGTTCGCGCTGCGACCACCGCGTGGGGCACTCGAGTGGCGGGGCGCTCGAGTGGCGGGCAGTGCCTCCTCGCTTCCCGCCATCCTCCTCCGGAGGGCTCTGGCTGCCGCTCCCTAGGATGGCACACGCGGCGATCCAAGGCGATCCCGTCTGAGGACCCGGCCGCGCGCGCCCGCTCCCGCCGCTCTTCGATTTTACTCCGCCTCGTCGCTGCGCGCGACGCCGCGTCCGCCAAAAACATGTGTGTGACTTTGTGACTTTGTGTGTGTGTGTGTGTGTGTGAGTGCGTGTGTGTGTGAGGGAGAGAGTGAGAGAGAAAGCGAGTGTGTGTGTGTGTGTGTGTATGTGAGTACAGGCCTTCGACCCATCCCGCCACCGTGCCTTGGCTGCGGGTCGATGGTGGGGAGGGGCGGAGTCAACCGTCAAGGTTTTCGCGGATCTTTCGCTCTGGGAGCTTCTCGGAGGTCTCTTGGAGCCTTCTTGATGAGGGCCCGGGGGCCGAACTTCCGTTGTTTATTCACGACGCGAAGGGGATCAGGTTGCTCAATTTCTTCAGGGTCACAGGGTTCAAAAGGGCCTCGGAGTTCATCTGCGCGGCAGGCAATCGGAAGGCTCGTTGGAGTGTCTTGCGTGTATATTGGAATCTGTTCGATTATATTTTGGAGGACTATGATGAGCTCCTCTGGGAGCCTCCTGGGGGGCGGCTTGGAGATAATTTGAGGTTGTCCGAGGCATTTCGGACGGTTTGGGGGCGTCTTCGAAATGATTTCGGGTTTCGTAGGGGTCTCGTAGGGCCTCTTTCGAGCTTCTTGGAGGTCTGTCGGCGGTCTCGGGTGTCCTCTTGGGGTGGAGGGCTCGACATGTCCGTTCGTGTTCCCCTTCTTGGGTCCTCTTCGGGCTCTTTGGGGGCCCCTCTTGGACCGTCTGCGAGGTCTTGTGGACTCTCCTGGGGCCCGCTAGGAAGCCTTTTGGTCCGTCTTTGGGCGATTTTTGGGGCGTTTTTGTGGCAGTCTTCCAGAACGGGGATGGAACGATTTTTGGTTTCTGGGGCCCTCTGGGCGGTCCTCGTGAAGCCCTCTTGGGGCGTATTCGAGGCCTTTTAAGCCGTCTTGAGGCCGTCTTGGGCATTTTGAAGCGCTCTGGGTGCCGTCTCGGGGCCCTTGGACTTTCTCGGAGGCCTCTGGGGCCTCTCTTGGCTCGTCTTGAGGCCCTCTGGCCTGCGGGAAATTCATCCGAGAAGCCTCGTGCCGCCCTGGGCGGCCCCGGGAATCTGGGTACTCGGGGGTGTGGGCCCTGAACAAGTATGCATTTTCCCACGCAGAAGAGGTAAAAGGGATCCCAGGACATGACGGCACCGTGCCAATCCGGCTTACCTCCACTGGGAGGCCGGGCGGAGTGCTTCGCCCGCGATCAATTCCGAGTGCATAGTTTTTTTTTTGAGCAGCAGGTGACATACATACGTACAGAACACATACATTTCGCATATACATCTAGACAGGGGTTGTGTGTGTGTGCACAAGTGCGTGTGTATATTTGTACAGAACTGAATACACCAAACGCGCCCCAAGAGCCCCCGCGCCACCGCCAGCTCTCCCTCGGCCCTCGGCACGGCCCTGTGCCCCGACCGCCCCCGGCCCTGGTGCGCTGCCTTTCGCCGTCCGCCCGAGCGAGGCGGGCTGGCTTCGCCCTGGGCGCTGCGAGGCGGACCCTCCCCGGCGCGCACCATTCTCGCAAAGCGGATCGCTCGGCAGCAAATCATGGGAGGGAACCTTTTATGTGTTCTCGCAGTTCCGTCTTTAGAGTGCATTCGCGTGCGCCAGCGTCTGGCCATCGATGAAAGAGCGTCGTCTTAGCGTCGGTTGTAGCGTTTGCTCGGCGCCGACCAGCGTGGGTTGGCGTCGATTAGCGTCGGCTGGCGTCGACTCGCAAGAGCCAGAAAGATGGCATGCGAGGCTCCCACGACTTGCCGCCGAAGGATCGAGCAGGAGCGACTTGCAGAACAAGCCCCTGCTGGCCTCCTGCCAGCAGGCATGTCTGGCGCAAGTTAGAAAAACCATCTCGAGAGCGATTTTGGAGACCATCTTCGGCCATCCCTCCTTCCCTGGTTCACCTATCGCTCACCACCTCGTCTCTCCCCCCTTACCCTTTCCTCCCCCTTTTCCCTCCCCCTCGCCCTCTCGTCCCCTTTCCCTCCCCCTTCCTCCCCCTCCCTCTCCCACTCTTCGTTCTCGCCCCTGCCGAGCGCAGGAGGGCGCGAAAATCGACAATTCGCCCTCTCGTCCCCCTCCCCTCCCCCCCCCTCGCCCTCCTCGTCCTGGCCCCCGCCGGGCGCAGGAGGACGCGAAGATCTACAAGCCCGTCTCCGACTCGGAGTCCGATCAGGCGGGCGCGACCCGCGCCCCCTCTCTCGCGGCGGCGGCGCGTCTTCGGAGGCAGGATCCCTCCTCCTCCTCCTCCTCCTCCTCCTCTCTCCTCCTCCTCCTCCTCCTCCCTCACCTCCTCCTTCCTCCTCCTCCTCCCTCCTCCCTCCTCCTCCTCCTCCTCCTCCTCCTCCTCCTCCTCCTCCACACCTTCTCCTTGTAGATTACTCCTCCCTGTCGCACCCCGAGGCCAGTTTTTAGAGCAGGAGGAGAGACCCAAGGGACCCCTCGCGTCGGGACGCAGACCATGGCGGGCATCGCCTCGCCACCTCGGCCTCCAGCGGCCCTCTCCGGGCCCAAAAGACTGTCGGCCAGGAGCCGCCCGCGGCGGAGAGCGCGGCTCTGGGACCTCCCGAGGCGCGCGCGGCGGAGAGGCACGGCGTCGGAGGTCTGGGGAAGGAGCGGCCGGGGGAGGAGGAGGAGGAGGAGGAGGAGGAGGAGGCGGAGGAGGAGGAGGAGGATGAGGAAGGAGGAGGAGGAATGAGGGAGGGGCCCCCCCGAGCAGCCGAGGAGAACTTTTGGTCGTCTGGGCGCTTCTGGGGCCAAGCAGGGGCGCCGCTCCCTGCTTTGAGAGTCCCGTGCGGCAGTCGCTCGCCTGCAGCGGCCATGCATCGCACTGCATCCTTCAGGAGGGGAACAAAAAGCACACAGACACAATTAATCGTGGATTCCCAGGAAAGTCTGCGCAACTATGGGAAGTGAGGGGGAAGACAGACACCCAGAAAATGTGGGGAGATATGGGGACTCCTGTTATTTGTGTCTATTTTCATTTGTGCGCCCCAGGGCCCCTTCCGTCATGGGGGCCCATGTCGGCGGGGGCGCGGGCCTGGGGGGGCTCTGGGGCGGAGGGCACAACTGCGAAGCGCCTCTGCAGCAGCAGGGCGGCACGCGCGGAGCGCCCTGCCCCGCCTCTTGCCCCCCCTGCTCCCCCTGCTCCCCCTGCCCCCCTCCCTTCTCCTCCTGCTCCCCCTGCTCCGCCTCTTGCTCCCGCCTCTTGCTCCCCCTGCTCCCGCCTCTTGCTCTCCTGCTCCCCCTGCTCCCGCCTCTTGCTCCCCTGCTCCCGCCTCTTGCTCCCGCCCCTGCTCCCCCTGCTCCCGCCCCTTGCTCCCCCTGCTCCCCCTGCTCCCCGTGCCCCCCTCCTGCCTTCTCCTCCTGCTCCCCCTGCTCCGCTCCCGCCTCCCTTCGCGCCCCCTGCCGCCCAGGACGCGGACTCCGACTGGGAGGGCAAGCACGGCGCGGAGGCCGGGCTCTCGGCGGGGCTCTCCGGGCGCCGGAGGGCGCCCGCGGAGGAGGGCCGGCCGGGCCAGAGGGTCGATGCTCGAGCGCGTCGGGCGTTACTCAGGAGGGGAAAAAACACACACAGACACAATTAAGTGTCGATCCCCAGGAAAATATGGGAAAACATGGGAAGTGGGGGGGAAGACAACAACCCAGAAAATATGCGAAAATATTGGGAATCTTCTTATCTGTGTGTATTTATTTGTGTGTTTGTGGGCCCCTTCAGTTACTTCGGCTCTTTTTGATACCCAGGAGGTTTCTCGTCGGCCGGGTTCCCATCGAAACTCTGGTAAAGAGGCAGCCCAGGACGGGTGCAGTTCTAGGGACGACGATGACTATGGTCCAGCTGCCTGCGGGAAGTCCCGCCACCGTGCCAGCCCAGCATGCTCGGAGGCTGTGCTTCGAGGGACACCGGAGGAGCGTAGTGGATGTTCGTTGGAATCTCGTGGGCGGCCTCTCGGGGGCCTCTTGGAGGCAGTTTTCAGGCCTGTTGGGGGCCGTCTTGGGGGCCTCTTGGGGGGCTCTTGGGGGCCTCTTGGGGCCTCTCGGGCGCCTCGTGGGACCTTCTGGAGGCCCCTTGGGCTCCTTGGGGCGGGAGGCTCGGTTGTTCGGTTCGTGTTCACTCTCTGGGGCTCCTTTTGGGGCCGTCTTGAGGCCCTCTTGGGCCATCTTGGGGGCCTCTTGGGCCGTTGTGGGGCGCTCTTAGGCCGTCTTGGGGCCCTCGTGGATGGTTATTTGGCTGTTTTGGGTTGGTTTTGGGTGCCTCTTGGGCCTTCTTCGGGCGTCGGACAGTCGAAAAAGCGAGAACGCCCAAATCCTTCAAAAACGCGAGGAAAATTATTCATTTTTACTTTGGGGGCCCTCTGGGGAGACCTCTTAGAGGCCTCTGAGGGCGCCTTGGAAGCCTCTTGCGCCAACTTGAGGCCATCTTGAGCGTCTTCGAGCAATCGTTCGGCGCCTCGGGGCCCTCTTGGAACGTCTTGGGGGCCTACTGGGCTGTCAGAGCCTCAGGGAGGCCCCATGGGCGATGTACGCAAAACTACGCGGCCCGGAGGGGAGGGGTCTCTTAGAAGATTAGAACAACCCTACCAGACAACACTTGGCATTCTAGTACGCCGCCTCAGCGTGGCATGGTGGCGGATAACGACGACAATGATGGTGACGATGACGATTCTGATCATGATGCTGATGATCGTGGTGGTGGTGATGGTGGTGGTTGTGATGATGATGACGATGATGATGGTGATGCTGATGACAATGATGAGGATTATGACCATGGTGGAGATGATGATGATGATGATGATGATGATGAGGAGGAGGAGGAAGAAGAGGATGATGCTTATAGTTGTTCTGATGATGACGAGGATCGATCTGATGATGATGATGATGATGGTGATGACGACCATGGCGCTGCTGCAGCTGATGAAGAATAATAAGAATGTGATGATGATGATGATGATGATGATGATGATGATGATGATGATGATGATGATGATGATGATGATGATGATGATGGTGATGGTGATGGTGATGGTGATGGTGATGGTGATGGTGATGGTGATGGTGATGGTGATGGTGATGATGATGATGATGATGATGATGGTGGTGGTGGTGGTGGTGGTGGTGGTGGTGGTGATGATGATGATGATGATGATGATGATGATGATGATGATGATGTCGAGGAGGAGGAGGAGGGAGGGTAATGTGGGAGGGGGAGGGGGGAGAGGGGACAGGAGGACGCGGACGCGGGTGAAGAGGGAGGTGCGGAAGAAGAGGATGAGGGAGGGCGCTCGCGGAGCAAGAAGGCGGAGAAGGCAGGATGGAGCAGGAGGATGGATGCAGACTTCGGGCTGGGAGACGATAGATCGAGGCAGTTGGACTTTTTTGGGGCCCCCGGAAGCCCTCGAAGGCTCCAAAATACTTTCGGATACCTGGACCTTTGGCTGCCTGCACCAACTAGTGTCAGATAGTAGTGTGTTTCTGTTTCTATGTCTGTCTATGTCTATGTCTATGTCTATGTCTATGTCTATGTCTATGTCTATGTCTATGTCTATGTCTATGTCTATGTCTATGTCTATGTCTATGTCTATGTCTATGTCTATGTCTATGTCTATGTCTATGTCTATGTCTATGTCTATGTCTATGTCTATGTCCATGTCTATGTCTATGTCTATGTCTATGTCTATGTCTATGTCTATGTATATGTCTATGTCTATGTCTATGTCTATGTCTATGTCTATGTCTATGTCTATGTCTATGTCTATGTCTATGTCTATGTCTATGTCTATGTCTATGTCTATGTCTATGTCTATGTCTATGTCTATGTCTATGTCTATGTCTATGTCTATGTCTATGTCTATGTCTATGTCTATGTCTATGTCTATGTCTATGCATGTGTGTATGTACGTAAGTATGTATGTGGTTGGGCAAGCTACCCATTCGTCGTTGGTGGAGTTTCGGGGCGAGGTTGGGGGGTGCGCTGGCGATGCGGGACTTGCTCAACCTCGCCTTGGGGATCTCACGCGAATTTATTGTCTTTCAGCGAGCAGAGAAGGTAGCCGAGGTCCACCTGCAAACTGCCAGCGCTATACTTGTCCCCTTTTGGACCGAGCTTTCGGATGCTGTTGCATCCCGTATTCGCTTGTCTCTTCAGACGTACATTCTTCAATGGATGGATGTCAGAATTGCCTCCTATGGCAAGTGCCTGTGAGTGCGGTTTAGACCAGAGGCCTCTCGGAAACACTTGTGGGTCGAGGCTGTTTCCAAATGACGTTCTCGCTCGCTTGAAATACCCAGGACTGATTGCCCAAGTAGCGTGGGTGTTCTACTGTGTAAATGCACCCCCGTGTCCACGTTCAGCTATCTGGGGCGACTCCTTGTCCAATTGACAGGAGGGTGCTGCTCGAAGATGATTTTGCGATCCCATAAGGTCCACAGGCTACCGCCGAACGCATTTTGTAAAGCCGATGCGTCTTCTTTTGCAGCGGGCAAGCTTGTGGCGTCGTCATCCGCTCGCACAATGGGCGCCGCCAGTTTGTGGCGGTGCGCCTGCCGAGCGGCAGGCTCGATAAATGGGGCGAAACGGCGGTGCAGGCGCTCGCAGTGGTCTCTTGGGCGCGGGGAGTGGAGTGCCCCATGCTGGCTACCGAAGCAGACTATTGCCTTGAGATTTTCGAGGCCAGCTGCTGAGCCGCCGTCCCGTGGCATCTCCAAACTGATTTGGACGAGCGCCATCGCGGCAGCCCGCGCTGGAGATTCCAGTGCGGCCACGACGCAGGCCAAAGGTGCCGTGAGCCTTTCCTTTGCTTCTTTCCAAGAGGCTGTGCCGCAATACATTTGAGCTCACAGTTGCCACGCGCCCCCCGGTTTGGGGGCTGCTGCCTTGCTTAGTCGGGGCGGTGGGTGAGCGGTGGGGGAAAGGTCTCGAGGCATTCTTGCGTTTCAAACCAGGCCCGCAGTGGGCGTTGCTCAAGATCCTAGCTGGCGGATGGGCGACATCTTGCCGCGTCCATGCATGTGGTTTGGTACAATGTCTATTCGGGTGCCCGCAGCAACCCGATGCCATCTTTCATTGCTTTTCTTGCCCCGTCCTCCGTGAGCTCCTCGGCCTCCCCCCAATCACATCACGATCCTTGGTCTTGCGACCCACCATGAATACATGTGCGCAACCTTTGCGCCCAACAGGGCTGGAGCAATTCGGCTGGCAGTGTTCGCGTTTCATATTTATAACAAAGCGAAGGCCATGGTGGTGAATGGACTGACGCTGAGCCCGATCCAGCTGTAAGCAGCTCTCGCCGCAGCCTTGTACGCAACTGATTGCGTCGCAAGTGGGAGACTGGCTGCGCAGCTACGGTTGATCCTCCACTTCTCCCTCATCGCCCGACGTCGCCCGCGGCTCCTCGTTCGCCCCCCTCCCCCCCCGCGCCGAGGGAAGCAATCGCAAAGCCGACACCGAAAAGGACAAGGACCCCCCATGCGCCTGGGGGAGGGAGGGAGGAGAGAAGGAGGAGGACCCAAGACATGGCAGGAGGTTTTTGGCCGTTTCAGGCGTCCAGGGGGCGTCGCTGGGCCCTTGGGACCGTCAAGAGCGGGGTCCAGGACGGGACACCGGTCCCAGGGAAGGGGTCCAGACCTCCGGGGGTCCACGCTGCAGAACTTCACGAGGACGGAGTCGAGAGGGTTACGAGGCAACGACTGGGTGGAGGATCGTGCTTTCAAGGTGTAAGCCTGCTCGAAGAATTTGGATCTCCGTGGAGTAGCATTCCCATTCCCGGTCAGCGGGCAGCGCAGTCAGGTGCATCATCCCCAAGTCCGTGAAGAGAGCCGTGCTTCGCGCGTCGCGGTTGGGGCCGCCGAGCTGGCCGTATCCAGGGGGCGCTCACGAGGGCGCGGAGGGATCACCGCGCGTCGCGGGGCGCGATGCGCGAAGTCGGGTGGCACGGGGAAGGGGGGGTAGAATGGAGGGAGACGGCGGGGTGGGAGCGGGAGGGGAAGTGATGGGGAGGGGCAAAGGGGGGGGGGGAGAGGCGAGGGAGGTGAGCGGAGGGCGGCGCGGGAGGCGGAGGGAGGCGGAGGGAGGGGTGGGAGGGGAGCGGGGGGAGGGGAAGGGAGTGGAGCGGATGGGGGGGAGGACGCGATGGGGAGGTCATCCCTGACCCCTCGCGTATCCACACCAGTCAGCCTCGTTCGTGCCCCGGACTTTGCTTTTCGCCGCCTGACCTTTGTCTCGTGGCCGCGACCAAAAAAGTATCCCCACCAGTCGCAGCGTAGTTCTCTCCTGCGCGCTCGGTGCCTAATTTAGATCGTAGCGCTGTTGCTTCGCTCTTTGACGGCGCGCTGTTGGGCCGTGTCGCTCGCAGATCAAAACAGTATCCCCACCAGACCATTCAGCAACGATGCCCAGGCGAGCTGTTCTGATCAGTCGACGGGAGGGTCGGAATGAGCCTGGGCAGGCCCAGGATTCAACCGTCAATGCCCTCGCGGCTCTGTCGATGGCGGAGCCTCGACAAAAGGAATGGGTGATTTTTTTTTGGGGGGGAGGATGGAAAAGGGAAGGCTCCTGCTCTTCCTCTCGTTTCTCCTGCTTCCCAGAGCTCCGACGATTTGGTTTTGGTCAGTCGAACTTTTTTCCCGTGACAGTTTCCTTATCCCGAGTTTCATGGCCCCAGGATTTGGGCACGGCCCCCAGGCCCGTGTAGGTCGAAAGCCCTTTCGGCACGTTTTTTCGAATTGCCAGGGGTCTGGGGTCCATGGTTTTGCGTGACAGTTTTGATGCGCTCTGTGATTCTGAGCCACAGTCTTGGTGCGTTCCTTTGGCGTCGCATGATCGCAGCCTGGAGGGGTTTTGAGATCCACGGGTCCTATTGTTGTTTTGTTTCTTTTGCCAGCGCGTCTTGCATATTGCACGGCTTCTCACCTGACCATGGGTCTGGGTCCTTCGATAACAAAACATGGCAGCGTCCTCGTACTTTCGTGTGTTGAGCACACTCGCTTGCGCTAGCGTCTAGTAGCCGATGAGAAAACGCCAATCCAGCATCGATTTCGTCGTCGATTAGCGTCGGTTAGCGTCGACCAGCGTCGATTCGCAAGTGCCAGCAAGACGGTATTCGAGGCTCCCATAAGTTGCCTCCGAAGGGTCCTCCTCCTCCTGCTCCGCCCGATGCCTTTCTTCTCCCCCGCGCCGGAGGAAACCGCCCCGAGGCAGCAGGCCCCGGGCGCAGACCCGTGCCGCTGGTGGGAGGGAACGTGGCCGGGCGGGGGGTGGCGAGGTGGAGAGGGAGGATGAGGAAGAGGAGGAGGAGGAAGAGGAGGATGAGTAGGATGATGATGATGCGGAGGAGGAGGGGGAGGAGGAGGAGGAGGAAGAGGAGGATGACCAGTGTAAACCCAAGAGTCATTAACGATGTTGTAACTAAATTTCCCTCCAAGCTCCATCTTCATCGGCTCTACAACGGTGCATTTCCATTCCTCGTTGGAAGACAACCTTTCCTGAATCATGCCAAAACATTGTTCTCTGAATTTCAACGCCATGGATCAACCTGATTGCTGCGTCATGACGATCCAGAATCATGCCTGAACGCCATTCTGGGGACTTCCGCGCCGCGAATCAACATAACTGTTGCGCCCGCATAATCCTGAACCCTTCCAAAACACGATATCTGGTACGTTGATCATGGGAACCCGTGAAACTCTTGCATATATTTGAAACGAATGTGCGCGGCGCTAAAGCGAGAACCACATTTTGAAAAGGAACCGCCCTCAATCCGTGAAGCTTTTGCACATGTTTGAAAATAATGTGCGCGGCGCTAAGGCGAGAGCCACATTTTGAAAACGATCCGCCCTCAATCCGTGAACTTCTTGCCAATTTTGAAGCGAGTGTGCGGCTCTCGCTAAGGCGAAAGCCACATTTTGAAGACGACCCGTCCTGAATCCGTGAAATTCTTGCGAATTTAAAAAAACGGATGTGCGCGGCGCCACGGCGAGAGCCACATCTTGAAAAGGAGCCGCCCTCAATCCGTGAAGCTCGTGCAAATGTTGAAAACGAATGTGCGCAGCGCCAAGGCGAGAGCCACATTTTGAAAACCACCCGCCTTCCATTTGTGAGAGTGTTGCCATTTTCTAAGTTTCGGAGCAGGCGAAACGCCCGGCTTGCCCGGAAAACTGGCATCGGGGTGCGACAGGGAGAAGTTATGTATAAGGCAAAAAAATTGAGGAGGCGGAGTAGGACCACTGTAAGGCTAAAAGCCATCAGCGATGTTGGCATAAACCCTCCCTTCAAGCTCATTCTTCATAGGCCCCTACAAGGGTTCATTTCCATTGAGGGATCTGCCTCGTTGGAAGACAACCGTTTGAAGACCCTGAAGCACGTCATAACATTCTCGGGACTCCAGCGTCACGGATTAACCTGACTGTTGCGTCTTGGCGATCCTGAGTCGTACCAGTAAGCCATTCTTGGGACTTCAACCCCGTGAATCAACGTAACTGTTGCGCCCTCATCGCGACTACGACTATTACTATTACTACGACTACGACTACTACAACTACTACTACTACTATCGCTACTATTACTACTACTACTACTGCTACTAATATTGCTACGACTATTATTACTACTACTACTATAACTATAACTATTACTATTACTATTACTATTACTATTACTATTAATATTACTATTACTATTACTATTATTATTATTATTTTTTACTCCTACTATTACTATTACTGCTACTATCATTTTTATTTTTGAGTGCTACTACTACTATTACTACTTCTGCTGCTGCTACTACTACTGTTACGACTACTACTACTTTTGCTGCTGCTGCGACTACTATTATTACTACTACTACTGCTATCACTACTACTACTACTACTACTGCTACTGCTACTACTACTACTACTACTATTAGTACAACTACTACCACTGTTGCTACTACTACTACTACTACTAGTTGTACTACTATTATTACTACTACTACTACTACTACTAGTACTATTACTATTATTGCTACTACTGCTAGTTGTAGTAGTAGTAGTAGTAGTGGCACTACTACTACTACTACTACGACTACTACTACGACTACTACTACTACTACTACTACTACGGCGACGACTACTACTAGCTACTACTAGTACTACTACTACCACCACTACTACTACTACTACGACTACTACTACTACTACTACTACTACTTCTACCACTACTTTTGCTGCTACTACTACTACTACTACTTCTACTACTACTACTACTACTACTACTACTACGATTACTACTGCTACTGCTACTACTACTACTACTACTACTACTACTACTTCTACTACTACTACTACTACTACTACTACTACTACTACTACTACTATTACTACTGCTACTACTACAACTACTACTAC